TCCTTTTCTTTCTTTCTTTTTGGTGCTGGGGATTGAACACAGGGCCTCATGTAGGCCAGACAAGTTCTATCATTGAATAAGGTGCTAGCCTCATCCTACCTCTGGTAATTATCTAATGAGATGAAAGCATTCTGAAAACTATCAAGTACTTTGTTTGTTTCAAAAGTAATGTGGAAAATTCATAGAAGGTTATAAAAGATCATAAACCCACAGGACAATACAGACCATATAAATAAAAGAAATCTTTATATTAAAATAAATTTCAAAGATGATATATCAAGAACTATGTAATGTTTTGAACAACCAACAATAAAAAAAAAGAAAAATAAATAAATAAAAAATATTTTCAGTGTTCAATAAAGCTTTCCAAAAGAAAAAAAAATAAATAAATAAATTTCAAAGGGAATTATAAAATACATCTACTTTTTAAATAACAGCTTTATTGAGATATTTTTACTTGCCCTTTTAAATTATGCAATTTGGAGGTTTTCAATAAATTCATGGAATTGTACAATCACTACTACCTAATTTTAGAAACATTTTCATCACCCCAAAAGAAATCCTAAACTCATTAACAGGTACTTCCCAAATCTTTCCCATCCTCTGCAACCCCAGACAATTTACTTTCTATTCCTATAGATTTGACTATTCAGGACATTTCATAAATGTGGAATTATATGGGCTGGGGATAAGGCTCACAGGTAGAGTAGTTGCCTAGCAGGTGCAAGGTGTCCTGGGTTTGATCCCCAGTACTTAAAAAAAAAAACAACTTACCTTGTGTGTTCTTGTGTCTGACTGCATTAACCAAGCATGTTATTCATAATGTCACAGCCTCATTAATATTTTATTCCTTTTTATGGCCAAATAATATTCCACTATATAGATTGGTATGCATGTTATTTATCCATCCGTGGGTAATAATATAATAATATAGTTATTACCTTCTGTTCGATATTTGAGTAGCTTCTACTTTTTCCTGTGAATAGTGTTTCTGTGGAACATTAAAAGCTTTTGTATGAGTGTATATTTTCATTTCTTTCTCTCTCAAATATTTTTTTAGACCTTGATGGACCTTTATTTATATGTAGTACTGAGAATCGAATCTAGTGCCTCACTAAGCACATGCTAAGCAAGTGCTCTTCCACTGAGCCACAATCCCAGCCTCACCTCCTTTTTTTGTACTAGAGATTGAACCCAGGGACCCTTTATCTCTGAGCTACATCTCCAGTCCTTTATTTTTTTGTTTTAAGACTTTAAACTTGTGATCCTCCTGTCTCAGACTCCTAAGTTGCAGGGATTATAGGTGTGTGCAACTATCCCTGGCATATTTTCATTTCTCTTTGGTAGATACATAGTAGTGAAATCACTGGGTCAAATGATAACTGTACGTTTAACATTTTTTTTGTGTGTGTATATGTATAATGCTAGGGATCGAACCCAGGGCCTCACTCATGCTATGCAAGCACATTACCATTGAGTTACATCCCTACCATTTTGGTTTATTTTTTGAGATGAGGTCTGGCTGTGTTGCCCAGGCTATCTTGAATTCCCTGGTTCAAGTGATCCTCCTGTCTCAGCCTCTGAAATATTGGGACTATAGGCATGTACCACTGTACCCAGCTTATACTTAACTTTTTTTTTCCCGTAACTTAACATATGTTTTATTGATAAGATTTAAAAATTCACAAGTCAGTGAAATAAACAAAAAAATACCGTTTGTCTCAGCTCATTGGACAATTTTAAAGTTAAATTACTTTGCATCACCCTAAAAATATTAATGTAAATCTGATGTAACAATAATTGAATAGGCGCTGATAGCCATAGCATGGAAAAATAATTGCAGCTATTGAATCTTTTTTTTTAATATTTTACTTTTTAGTTGTAGTTGGACACAATACCTTTATTTATTTTTATATGGTGCAGAGGATCAAACCCAGGGTCTCGCACGCGCTAGGCGAGCGCTCTACTGCTGACCTACAACCCCAGTCTCCAGAATCTTTTATTCTGTGAGCATAGTACACATATTACCAAGTACCTGAAGATATCAACTGAATCCAAGTCACTAAAAATACATCTTTGACTTATTTAAAATTTAAACATACAAGGATACATTTTTATTTATTAATTGGGACTACTCTGATAGTTTCACTTATGGAGTGAAATAGATAGGTGTGGTTTAAATAATGAAATATATATAGTGGAAAATATAGTTATTACCATCTGTTCGAGCTGGTGACCTATGCTGGCTTCACAAAATCTGATTATTCTAATAACTTAAGAAAATGGCGGAGAAAGTACGCCAACACACAGAAGTACTTTTTCAAAATCTGGAGATGGTTCTGTGACTTTAGGGGTCCGTGGAAAGAGAGAGAGCCACTGGAATTCTTTATTTTTACACAGGGGATACACAAGGGGAGGTTCCATGGAACATTCTATCCCCAAAAGGGCAAAGGGGTAGGATTACAAAGGAACAAGTGAGTATAACTCAACGCCAACAGGTGACACCCACTCCTGGAAACACAACTCATTATCTGAGATTGGGGGGGGGGGTAAAAATCCAGTGCATTGCAGGGTGCAATAACTGTTCAGCACCCCTTTACTCATGACTTAAAGGTGTGTACATAGCTCCTGTCCAGAGTGGCTTCCGATATACAGGTAAAAACAGGATTCTTTTACCATGTGAGTCATTCTTCCTCATCACCAACATTTGTTTGTTTGTTTTTATATGTTCTTTTAGATATACATTACAGTAAAGTGTATTTTGACATATTATACATACATTGTTGTATAACTTATTCTAATTAAGATCCCATTCTTGTGGTTGTACATGATGTGGAATATTACTAACATTTAAAAAAGGCGAAAGATTTATACGATCTGAAGAGAAACCAGAGTATTTATTACTAACATTTAATATGGTTGACTTTTTATCAAAGAAGAACAAATCTCTTTACAGAAATAGATGTAGTCCTTCCCATCTTTCAGGCCAGAACCAACCATCTGTGAATATATCTAGTCCCCCAATTGAGACAGACCTTTTTCATTTTGAAATTTTGATCTGTAATTGAATTTGTTTCAAGTGGAACATTCTAAATGTTTAATATTTTTATGAATCTCTTGCTCAAGTACAGAGCTGTTTGTGCTGTTATGTTTAACTTTTTGAGGAGCTGCCAACAATTCTTTCAAGTGGCTATACCATTATGTAATTTCACTGGCCATTTTAGGCTATTTGTATGACTGAATAAAATACCTTAGACTGGGTAATTTATAAACAACAGAAACGTATCATTCACAGATCTTGGTCAGTCCAAGATCAAGGCCCGACAGATTCAATGTATTGTTAGGGCTCACTACTTTCTGCTAAGATGGCTCCTTCTTGCTGCATCCTCAAGGAGCAAAAGGGGCAAACAGGATCCCTCAACCCTTTTCTAAGGCACTAATCCCATTTCAGAGTGCTCTGCTCTGTGGAACTAATCATAGGCCAAAGACCCCACACTGTTATATCAGGGGTTAGGTTTTAAATTATGAATCTTGAGGGACACAAACATTCAGACAACAGCAAGCTAGTAAATATTTTAGGCTTCCTAAACCATGCAATCTCTGTCACAGTTCAAAGCATTCATCAGTCAGTAGTTTGCTAACCCCTGTTCTACTTTATGGGTTTTTTTTTTGTTTGTTTGTTTTGTGGTATTGAGGATTGAACCCAAGGGTACTTTATTGCTCAGCTCCATCCTCAGCCCCTTTTATTTTTTATTTTGGGACAAGGCCTGGCTAAATTGCTGAGGCTGGCCTTGAACTTGCAGTCCTCTTGCCTCAGCCTGCCAAGTTGCTGCAATTCCAGGTGTGTGCTACATGTCCAGCTTTATGTTTTTTTAAAAGACTTTTGAAATCATGTGGTTTTTTTCCCTAATATATAAATAATTACCACATTACCATTGGAAGAAAATCTGGTCACTAATTGAACAGAGCTTCTCCATTCCTAATTGAATTAAAAATTGGAACCAGGCATGATGGCATATGCTTGTATTCCCAGCAACTCAGGAGGCTGAGGCAGGAGAATCACAAGTTTGAGGTCAGCCTCAGCAACTTAGAAACACTGTCTCAAAAAATAAAAAGGGCTGCGGATGTGGGAATGTAGCTCAGTGGTTGAGCTCCCCTGGATGCAATCCCCAGTACAAAAAAATAAATAAAAATAAAGTAGTGCACAATAAGTTTTTATCTATCTATAACTAATTTAAGTCTGAAAGAAAGATTAAGTTAGAGATTATATAAATATAATTCTGTAGGGACATGGCAAGATCAAATTGCAAATTAAATGAAAAAAAAAAAGTTTATGGGATGAGTACTAAGATCTAGGGAAGGACCCTTGACAAAAAGTTTATAGTCTGAGCAGGGAGGAAACAGATGAGACATAATTACTGCTGTGTACTCAAAAGTAGAGCCTGACAAAGCCAAAACACATTCTAAATATTAACTTTAGATCTGATTCAGCAATCTCACAATGGGTACATTGTATAACAAATGCTAAAGTGACACAAAAAATAAAATTATATGTTCATGCCCAGAAATAAGATTCAGGAATAGATACTTCCTGGGTGCCTCTTCACCCTTTACTGCAGCAGCATAAATAGCCCACAAGTGACTCCGTGTAAGTGTCTTAGGGAATATAAATTGGTTACCAGTGTTCAAGCTCATCATTGTAGGCAAGGTAGAACCGATTCTGAGCTTGAAAAACAGTTTTTGCTCAGGATGAATGATTATATTTTTAAAGGGCCATATTCTCATTATTAGAAAGCCAGTGTCCTGAAAATAAAAACTTTCAGCTTTCTCTAGTGCTGAACTCTCTAGTTTGGATGAGTCTTGAATTAAACCAGATATCCCAGGGTGGGGTGGGGGGGAGAGCAATAATAAAGTATGAATTGATGGATTTTCTTCTCTTGCCAGAAGTGGTGGTAAGAAAGTTATGGGAGTGATGTCAAAGACCTGTTTTTCCCTAATAGGTGTGGAGTTTCCAGAAGAAACAAACAGATCTCCTCATCGCCTTTTATAAGCATAGAATTACAAAGTTAGAAGCATCCTTACAGGAAGCACAGCAAACGGTGGCCAGCCAGGACAAGTAAGTGACAAGTCATATGTCCACATAGCTTTTTTTTTTTTTCAGAGAAACTGTCATCCTTATTTTCTTGTGGTTGCAAAGACTGAAGATTGCCCAATGTATATTCAGGTACATAATTGGATATATGAAGAAGAAATGGAATTCTGTGGTAACTCCCCTGAAATTGTATCAAGTGACTGCTTATTTTTGCCCACTTGATTATTTCACCATCAAAGCTTTGCCATGTTTATCTTCAAGTATCTCTTAGTAAGCATTAACTAGATGATGATGATGTTGTTGATGATGATGGTGATATTAAGACTTTTTCTCCAACTGACCTGGAGCTGATTATTTCCATTGTTCGCCTAGAGAGCTGTCAACCTTAAGAAAGGAGAATGGAGAACTGAAGAAATTTCTAGCCCTACTAAAGGTGAATGAAATAGAGTTTCTTTTCTATTATTTTCTCTCCTGCTTTTCTATTATTTTCTCTCCTGCTTTTGCATCTATCTATATAGCTGGCTATAATAAAATAGGGCATTCTAACTTTTTTCATATGATGACACACATGGAAACTGATATTGTGTGTCAAGCACACTGAAATAAAGGAAAAGGCTACAGAGACCTTAGAGGGATGTAAGTATTAATATTAGTACACTTGTAACCCATTGAAGATTAATGAGTTGTGACGTACCAATTAGGAAGCTTTCTTATAAATGAAAGAGACATCTGTTGCAGCTCAGATTGTCACTTGAAGAAGCCCAAGACACCTCAGGACCCTTCTTCTCCCAAACACTCCCTAGACATTTCTTTTTTTCCTAAAACTATTCTATGTATTTATATAATTTTGTTGATCTCATTCCTATAACTGATCTAGCAAATTGTGGTCATTTTATGTTCCTTTCAGTCCCTAGAAACTCTCCATATTTCACTACATATTTTGGTCTCTAGGATTCCCAGTGTGCTTTTATAAAGAAAAACTAACATTGTATTTCATCAAAGCTAATAATTTCCTAAGGAAACATTGCTCCTGTTTTTTCTCCTAGCTAGTAGGAAACCTTAGCAGCCATAATTAAGAGACATTGCATCTGAGTTATCTAACAAGTAAGACTGAGATACATTGATTAGGACCTTTGATCTTCAGCTTCCTTTTTCCCATTTTTTAACCCACAGGAATCTCCAAGTCGGTACCAAGGAAACAGGTTAGTTTATGAGCCACTATACTAGCCCCGCCCCCCATCTCGAAAACTTTTTTTTTTCTAAAAAATATTTTAATTGACATAACAATTGTACCCATTGTAAAACAATTTATGGGGTGTGATAATTTAATACAGTTATACAATGTGTAATGGTAAAAATCAAGGTAATTAAATTCCCATTCCTTAAATGTTTATCATTTCCTTGTGATAGGAAGCTTTGAGCCTCTTCTTTCTTGACTCCTGGCTGTGTGGGCTTCAAGATAAAGAAAATGATTGATGAATTTCTCTCGTATTTCTCTGAGAAAGAATTATTCACTGAAAAGTGCTGAAGTGAAATTTGTTTAGTTAAAGTGAAATCTTGATTGTAATACCCTTGACTATCATAAGATAGTCACACTACTCATCCTTCAAAATTCAACTCACATAATATCCTCTGCAAAGACTGCATTAGGTGAAGTTAGATGTTGTGTTCATTCATTCAATAAATATTGATTCACTGCCTACTTTTTCTAAAGTACTATATTAGGTGGGTCTACAGCACTAGTCCTTTTTAGTTGGTGACATGGGTGTCCTACCAACTGTTAAATATTTTGAATACCAACCCTGAATCGGTGGATGAAAAAGACATGACACCCTTCACTCACATAAGTTACTGCCTAGTGTTTTTTCTTTTGTACTTTCAATACACCCATTATTTTTATTCTTTTTTTTATCCTGAGAATCAAATTCAGAGTCTTGTGCATGCTAGGCAAGTATTCTATCACTGAGTTATAGCCTTAGCCCCTGATTTTTTAAATATTATATTTTTTGTAGTAGTTGGACATAATACCTATTTTTTATTAATTTATTTTTATGTGGTGCTGAAGATCGAACCCAGGGCCTCACACGTGCTAGGCAAGCACTCTACCGCTGAGCCACAACCCCAGCTACGCCCCTGATTTTTTTTTTTTTTAACAAAGTATCTCTCATTAGCCTGTGAGTCTCTCAAAGAGAGGAATCTTATTCAAGTTATTTTGTAATTTTGAGTTCTAGGATATATATCGACATAAAAAATACTTGTTGGATAGATGGATTTGATGGGTTGGAGGATGGAGGGATGTATGAATACATGAAGAGATGTAAGGTTGACAGTATTTGATGAGGCACTCTGGAAAGGAAGAAAACAAGTACTTCAGAAGAACTTCTACTATGGAGAATAGGGGAGTGGAGAAGTTCTTGCTTAGGAGTTGGGGAATAAAGGGATCTCATGGAAGCTTTGCTTCCATATTTTGGAGTGATAATTCTAATACATAAGATAAACAATCTATTCAGAGAGGAAGTTACTGTTTCTATAAACAATGATCCGATTGATCCTCTAAAATGACACTTATGCTTAGTGAGATTAGAGCTACCTCTTTTTGCTTGCAGGCTGACCACACCTCGACCAGTGGGCATTACTTCTCCATCACAGTCAGGTAGACAATATATTTTTGACCACATATCTGTGTTAGATGAATAAATATATTTTCTCATATGGAAAATGGTTTTCTCTCAGAGAACATAATGTGATTTTCCTAATATTATGTATGATATGAAAAACATCATACAACCAGGTAACCAAGGCAGCGTGCACTAGTGATGACAGCTTTTTTTTTTTTTTTTTTTTTTTTTTTTTTTTGATGACAGCTTTTTATCCTGCATGTTATTCTCTTTCAGTTACTCCACGACTCAGTTTCCAGCATAGCAGCCAAGTGGTCAGGTGAGTATAAGACCTTTACTGCAACATGAAAAACTGTTGGCAAAAGTTGGAAGATGAAGTAAATATCTAGATGTGGCTCAGATTGGGACTTAAGAGACTTTGGGTCCATGTCAAAGTTCAATACCAAATTTTTTGTCTCATCTTATATAGTCGGTCCTCCTCTGTGGAGTCTCTCCCTTATAGAGTGGCTGGCTTTGGTAGCGCGGGCCAAGTAAGTAATATTCACTTTCTCTTTTCAAAATTTCATTTCTAAAGCTTAATGAAAGCAACAATTTAAGTCAGGATTCTGAAACTTATCCTGGCTTTGGCAGAAACTATTTGATGCCCTGCAGACCTTTTTTGTTTGTTTGGCAATGGAGACCTGATATTAGAAGCTGACACTGAATCGATAGGGATAGAAATAATAGAAGTGTTCAAGGATGAAATTAGCAGTGTCTATCATGTTAATTTTAGAAGTAGTAAAGTATGGATCTTTCTTGAACTAGTGTGACTACTCTGGGAGAACAATATATGCTTGAATGTGTAGTTGCAAAGAAACAGGAAGTATTATTAATGTTTATTATTTGACCACTAGGGAGGCAGAGGACTGCAGGGAAGGAGCACTCCCAGAGACTCTTACGCTGGTGAGACAGGGGGAGGGGGAGAAGGTGTCAAAAGTCAACATATTCTGTGTAGAAATCAACAGATTTCTGGTTTTCTGTACAACGTATCATTTCACTGTTTTTTTCCCTAAACAATTACTCCAGATCTCAAGACATATATTACATGTTTGAAAACAATGATATTTTTTTTTAAAGAGAGAGGGGGGAGAGAGAGAGAGAGAATTTTTTAATATTTATTTTTTAGTTATTGGCAGACACAACATCTTTGTTTGTATGTGGTGCGGTGGATCGAACCCGGGCCGCACGCATGCCAGGCGAGCGCGCTACCGCTTGAGCCACATCCCCAGCCCCCAACAATGATATTTTTATTCTCAAACTGATAATGGGGAAATAAAGTTGAGTAACAGAAAGCCATTCAAAATTTCTGCTCAGGAAATTCAAGATTACTTCTGAGTAAAATAATTAACTTGAATTTTAAAAACTGCCACAAGATGGCAGTACAAATTAGGTCTAAAAGGACAATGTAAATTGTTAGACTGAAGGATGTCTGGCTTTTGCACTGTGTATTAAACATAAATATATTTCAATGAAGGAATATTTTTATTTCTTCACCTAATTTCTTATTTTTGTCCTCTTAAAACTATAGTTGGGGCTGAGGTTATGACTTAGTGGTGGAGCACTCACCTAGCACATGCGAGGCACTGGGTTCAATCATCAGCACCACATAAAAATAAATAATTTAATAAAGGCATTGTGTCCAACTACAACTAAAAAAATATATATAAGAAAAAAACTATAATTGTTGTTACTGTTTTCAAGGGCATCAGCCAGTCCCAAGAGAAACGTATCAGAGAGGATTTTCTTTTTCTTTCACAAAAAACAAATTTGAAATTTCTGAGTCCTTTTTTTTTTTGTACCAGGGATTGAACTCAGGGGCTCTTAACCAGTGAGCCATATCCCCAGCCTTTTTAACATTTTATTTAGAGGCAGGGTCTTGCCCGAATTCCTCAGAACCTCACTAAATTGCTGAGGCAGGCTTAGAACTCACGATTCTCCTGCCTCAGCCTCTGGAGCTGCTGGGATTACAGGCTGCACTACCATACCCTGCTCCAAATCCTTTTCATTTGAAAAATTCAGAGATTTTTCCTCCAGTTCTTCAACATTCACCCCTTTGAAAAATGTAGATGGTCTAGCCAATTTATGTAAGTCAGGTTGGTAGTATTGTTTCCTCTTTCATTCCTGGTTTTGGTAACTGGAATCTTTTCTTTTGTCTTGGTCAGCCATTTCAAAGAACCAACTTTTGGTGTTCTATATTGTTTTCTATTCTGTATTTCATGTATTTGTGATTTAATCTTATTTCTTCTGGTTATTTTGGGTTTAGTTTGTTCTTTTTCTATTAAGGTAGAAGGTTAAATTATTGATTGATATTAGACATTTATGATATAGATATCTACAGTCATAAATTTCACTTTAGTACTGCTTTCATTGCATCCTATAAGGTTGGTTTATTGTGTTTTTGTTTTTATTCATCTTGAATTGTTTTCTAAGCTGGGCACAGAGGGCTGTTCCTGTAATTCCAGCAACTTGGAAGACTGAGGCAGGAGGATTGCAAGTTTGAGGCCAGCCCAGGCAATTTAGCAAGCCCCTGTCTCAAAAAAGAAAAGGGCTAGGTGGGCATGGTGGCACACATCTGTAATCCCAGTGTCTCAGGAGGCTGAGGCTGGAGAATTGCAAGTTCAAAGCCAGCTTCAGCAATTTAGTGAGACTCGGTCTCAAAATAAAATTAAAAAGGGCTGGAGATGTGGTTCAGTGGTTAAGTGCTCCTGAGTTTAATTCCAGGTGCCAGTAAATAAAGAAAGAGAGAGAGAGAGCTGAGGATGTAGCTCAGGGGAATACCCCTGGGTTCAATTTTCAGTAACCCTCAAAAGAAAAAAATGTATTTCCTAATGTCCTTGTGATTTTTTTTTTTTCTTTGACCCATTGACTATTTAGTGGTGTGTTAATATCCACATATTGGGCTGGGGTTGTGGCTTAGAGGAAGAGTGCTTGCTTAGCATTCATGAGGCCCTGGGTTCGATGCTCAGCACCACATAAAAAAACTAAAAAAATAAAGGTATTGTGTCCACCTACAACTAAAAAATAAATATTAAAAAAAATCCACATTTTGTGAATTTTCCAAATGTCTTCATTATTTTTTTTTTGTCTTCATTATTTATTTTGAATTCCATTGCTTTGTGATTTGGGACACATTGATTTTTTAAAAATTTATGGCTTAACATCTGTCTTGGAAAACGTTTTATATGCACTTAGAAAGAATTTATTTTCTGCCCTTGGATAAAATATTCTATAAATTTTAGTAGGTTTAGTTGGTATATAGTGGTGTTCAGTTGGCATGCTTCTGTTTCTTGCTGGATCTTCTGTCTAGTTATTCTATTTTTTTTTTAAGTAGGGTATTGAAGTCTTCAACTATTACTATGGACTTGTCTAATTTTTTCTTCAATTATGTCAGGGTTTTTTTTTATCATGTGTTGGGGGGCACATACCTGGGAACTCAGGGGCACTTTACCACAGAGCCACATCCCTAGCCCTATTTTTATATTTTATTTATTTATTTATATTTATATAAATATAAAATTATTTAAATTTTATATTTATTTATTTTAGAGGCAGGGTCTCACTGAGTTGCTTAGTGCCTTGCTGTTGTTGAGATTGGCTTTGAATTTGCTTCCTGCCTCAGCCTCCTGAGACACTGGGATTATAACCGTGTACCACTGTACCCAGCCCCAATTATGTCAGTTTTTACTTTTTTTTAGAACTGTTATTAGGTACATATATGTAAATTTATGTCTTCTTGATGGATTGACTCTTTTATCATTACATAATGTCATTCTTTGTCTCTAGTAATATTTTTTTTTAATTTAGTTTTTTACTAGTATAAACACTCTTCTGTTCATGGTTTGCATGAAGTATCTTTTTCTGTCTTCTTTCCTTCCTGTCTGCCTTCCTTTTTTTTTTTTTTTTTTCTGTGCATGTTGCTTGTGATTAAACCCAGGACCTTGCATATATTAGGCACACACAGTGTATCACTAAACTATACCTCCAGCTCCTTTATCCTCTACTTGTTTTTTGTTTTGTTTTATTTTGTTTTTGAGATTGAGTCTCTTGCTGCCTGGAGTGGTGGCATACATGTATAATCCCAGCCACTTGGGAGGCTGCTGCAGGAGGATAGCAAGTTTGAGTCCAGTCTCAGCAATTTAGTGAGGCCCTAAACAACTGAGATCCTGTCTCATAAAAAAAAAAAAAAAAATATATATATATATATATATATATATGTGTGTGTGTGTGTGTGTGTATGTATAAATTTTTGTATATATACATATGTATATTTGTATGTATATGTGGCAGGGAATTTTTCTTAGAGATTACTATTAATATCTTAATTTATAACAATCTATTTTGGATTTAATACCACACCTAATTTCAATAGTATACAAAAATTTAGTCTATGTAGTTTTTCTTCCCACTCCATTGTGCAGTTAGCATACATACATCTTTATAAATTGTGTGCTCATTGACAAATTGATAATTGTTGTTTTATATAGTTGTTTTTTAAATCAGAAAGAAAAAAGTTACAAACAAAAATCCACTTCCACTGTCTCTCCCTGGTGCTCTTTCTTAAAGGTATATTTGAGTTACTCTCTCGTATTCTTTCATTTTAGGCTTGGAAGACTCTCTTTAGTATTTCTTATAGGGCAGACTTTGTTTTGTTTTCCTTTGTTTTTGTATTACTGGAGATTGAGCCCAGGGCCTGTCTAGGCAAGGCAAGTGCTCTACCACTGAGCTACATCTCCACCCATTTTATTTTATTGTGAGATGGGGTCTTGCTAAGTTGCGCAGGCTGACCTCAAACTTGCTATCTTCAGGGCTGGGGTTGGGGCTCAGTGGTAGAGCACTCGCCTAGCACGTGTAAGGTGCTGGGTTCGATCTTCCACCACATAAAAATAAATAAATAAAAGTATTGTGTCCAACTACAACTAAAAAAGTAACAACAACAACAAAAAAAAAACTTGCTATCTTCCTGCCTCAGCCTCCCAAGTAGCTGGTATTACATGTGTGTGCCCCTATGTCTTACTGTCAGGCAGGTATTTTTTTTTTTTTGGTACCAGCAACTGAACCCAGGGGTGCTTACCCACTGAGCCACATCCCAGCTCTTTTTATTTTGAGCACTAAGTTACTTAGGGCCTCAAGCTAAGTTGATGAGGCTAGCTTTGAACTTGCAATCCTCTTGCCTCAGCCTCCAGAGTCACTGGGATTATAGGCATGTGCCACCATGCTTGGTAAGGCAGATTTTATAGTGCTGAATTCTGTCTAAATATTTATTTCTCTGGGAGTGTCTTAATTTCTTTTTCATTTTTGAAGGATGATTTTTTTTTTTTTTTTTTTTTTTTTTTTTTTTTTTTAAGAATGAGAGAGAGGGAGAAAGAGAGAATTTTTTAACATTTTTTTTTTAGTATTTGGCAGACACAACATCTTTGTCTGTATGTGGTGCTGAGGATTGAACCCGGGCCGCACGCATGCCAGGCAAGCGCGCTACCGCTTGAGCCACATCCCAAGCCCTGAAGGATGATCTTGCTGGATATAAATTTTTGGTTGATAGTCTTTCAGCACTTTAAATATGTTATCCCACTGTTCTGGCCTTCATGGTGTCTGATGAAAATTCAATGCTAATCTTTTTTTTTAAATATATATATATATATATATATATATATATATATATTACCTTTGTTTATTTTTATGTGGTGCCAGGGATCAAACTCAGTACCTCATTCATGCTAGGCAAGCGCTCTACCACTGAGCCACAACCCTGGCCTCTCACTGCTAATCTTATTGAGCATTCCTTGTACATGATGAGTGACTTCTGTCTTGCTGCTTTCAAGATTCTTTGTTTGAAGAAGTAAAATGGCATTGGACATCCTGCTTACCTTCTTTTTTTAATTTGTTCTTGTTTTAGATATACATGATAGTAGAATGTCTGCTTCCTTTCCTTTTTTTTTTTTTTAGCTGTTGATGGACCTTTATTTTATATATTTATATGTGATTCTGAGAATTAAATCCAGTGCTTCACACTAAGCAAGTGCTCTGCCACTGATTTACAACCTCAGCCCTCTGTTTCCCTTCTTAAAAGGGTTTCCAATACCTTTTTACTTTTACATTTTTCCTACACTCTTCAACCTATTCAAGGGCTTCCAATTACAAGACTTAATGGCCATTTTCATTCCTCTTCTACCAGACATGCAGCAGTTTTCTACGATATTAATCACTTTTACATTCTTAAAATAATTCCTCTTTTTCTTTAATCAAACTCCAGATTTTCCTTTGATCTTCCTGACTCTCCCTTCACTTTGCCTGTTCTGCACCTTCAAATCACTTAATGAGCCAACACAACAGTTTTAGGGATATTTAAAATAAGGATGAACATTGTTTCATATAATGAGATGACCTTGGTATATGATACACTCTCTCCTAAATTCTGCCCACTTTGTTTGGCTGGATCTTTATCATCCTGTAGGTCTTAAGTCCATTTCACAGAGAGGCCTTTCTTGTTACTCTCTGACAATACCTTGCTTTTTCCTGTTCTTCATCAAAATAGCCAATGATTAAATGAACTTAAAACCAAGTAAGGAGTTGAACCTCTTATATTAATGTGTAGTATCTTACAGTGTATCAGTTCATTTAATCTTCACAATAAAACTGTATGTAGGGGTGGTTATCATAGAGCCTATTTTAGAGGAGGAGTGTTAGGCCCTAGACATTAGTAACTCCATTTTGGTTCTAGGACTCCATCTTGACCCAAACTGAAACTTATAAACTGTCAAGAGAAAGAGACTTAAGATACCCTGTTCCCATAATCCCCTGGCCCCAAGGTCCCTAAACACAAAAAACTGTTGTTATCCAAGCACCTGCACTCAAGATCAACTCTAGCTTGCTCTTGTTCCTTGTCCAAAGATATATAAGCTTCCCTTCAAGTGACACTGGCTGCTGCACCTTGCAGAAGGGCAGTCTGGCAGATATTCTCTGTGAATAAACTTGTGTTTGAACTCAGAGAGAGAGAGAGTGTGTGTGCGCGCTCTCTCTCTCTCTCTCTCTCTCTCTCTCTCTCTCTCTCTCTCGGATATTTGCACCAGCTACCCTAACAAGGAGAAAAAAACAAAAGGTTAGGTTTGATTACAATATGTCTCGTTGTAACTTTCTTTGAGTTTATCCTATTTGAGGTTTGTTGAGTTTCGTGAATTTGTAGGTCATTTTTCAGCTCATTTGGGAAGTTTTGGGCTATTATTTTCCAAGTATTCTTTCTGCCTCTGTGCCTCTTTCCACTTCTTTTGAAACGCCCACTGTACAAACATTGGTAACCTTGATAGTGCCCCATCAAGGTCTCTGAGACTTTGTCCAATTTTCTTCATTATTTTCTTCCCCAGAACAATTTCAATAGACTTAAAATTAAATTTGCTGATTCTATTTCTGCCTTCTCATATCTGCTAATGAGCCCTTCTAGTAAAGTTCTCATTTAGTTATACTTTTCAACTCCAGAATTTATATTTGGTTCTTTTTTATGTAATTTTCCTTTATTGATATTCACTGTTGAGATGCCATCTTATCACTTCCTTTAGTGTTTTAGATATGGTTTCCTTTACTTTTTTGGTGGGTGAGGGTACTGGAGATTGAACCTGGAGGCACTGGGTTCATGCCCTGCCCTGCCTTTTTATTTTTATTTTGAGACAGGGTCTTGCTAAGTTGCTTAGGCCCTCTCTATGTTGCTGAAGCTGGCCTTGAACTTGGAATCCTCCTGCCTCAGCTTCCCAAATCTCTGGGATTGCAGTAAAGTGCCACCATGCCTGTCTCCTTTATTTGTTTGAATATATTTAAAATAGTGGATTTTTTTTTTTTTTTTTTTTTTGGTACTGGGGATTGAACCCAGGGCACTCTACCTTTTATTTAGAGATAAGAACTCGCTAACTTGCCTGGGTTGACCTCTGACTTGTGTTCCTCCTGCCTCAGTCTTCCAAATCTCTGGAATTTCAAGCATGTTGCCACTGAGCTTGGATAAAATAACTGATGTAGACGTCTTTGTCTAGAAAGTCCAACGCCAGGATTTCTTCAGTTTCTATTAATTGCTTTTTCCCCTATGTATAGGCCACAGTTTTTTGTTTCTTGGCATATTCCATAATTTGCACTTTCAGCATTCAACCAGCCAGTTCTTAACTGAGCCTTGACTTTACTTCCTGCTTATATAGCTTCAGGGTCAGCTCTGGGTGAGCATTTAGGGCTTTCTTGGTTGTTTTCTGAATTTGTTTATAGACCTGGGCATGCACATTACCTTCTAGATTTGTAGGAATGTATTGGAACTTTTTAAAGCCCCTATGGACAGCTCATTCCCTGACTTTTCCTTTACACATTTTAGTTAGACTATTAGTTGCCCCAACTGATAATCATCTTCTAAGGCAGCCAAAAACAAGTGTCTCTAATTGTTTTCAACAAACACTTCTAAGGGAAAAGACTTTTTTGTACTTGGTTAGCTCTGAGCTCCAAGATTTGGTGAACTTGAGTTCCAAGTCAAGTCAGAGACAGCTTTGCAAGTGAGATCTTACAGGAAACTACTATACAGGTCAAATAATGACAGTTCTCTAAGAATGAAGCTTTGAAAGAGTTCCAACCCCATTCCTTCCCTCTGACTGCCAGAATTGATTTTCAAAGGTACCATGGAACTAGAGGAGAAATGAGAAGTAGAGAAGTTACAGTGCCACAGAGATTACTGCTTTTATTGACATTCAGCTATTTTTTCCCCTGAGTAAATATTTTCCAGATTGCTACAAGCTCTCTATTAATTTCTAGAGTTTTTGTTTTTTGTACTGGGGGATTGAACCCTGGAGCACTTTACCACTGAGTACATCTCCAGTCCTTTTTTTTTTGGAGACAGTGTCTTGCTTAGTTGCTGAAACTGGCCTCAAACTTGCAATCCTCCTGCCTCAGCCTCCTGAGTCAGCGGGATTACAGGTGTGTACCACTGTATCTGGCTAATTTCCAGAGTTTGAAAAGGTTGACTCTGAGCATTTTTTCTAGTTTTTTCATTGCTTTAATGAAGGAGATGATTTTTGGAGCTCTTTGTTCCACTAGTTTTACTGATGTTACTCATCACCAATTTAATGACTCATTGTCTTTAGACATAGTTTTTGGTAATCTTCATCAGAGGTGAGGGCAAAATACAGATAGATTAGCGCACATCAAGGCAGTGATTTATCCTGGCCCAGACTCATGAAAGGGAGAAGAAAGCATCCTTATGAGATGCTGCTAGATGATTTTGTGAGACTTTCCACTCAACATCGTCCCCTAAACTTATACTAAATATCCTTGTGGGCGTGGGGGTGCATGCCTGTAATCCCAGTGATTCTGGAGTATAGGATAGGCTGGTTCAAAGCCAGCCTCAGCAAAAAGCGAGAGATCCTTTCTCTAAATAAAATACAAAATAGGGCTGAGGATGTGGCTCAGTGGTTGAGTGCCTCTGAGTTCAATCCCCATACCTCCCCACAAAAAATCTTTGATCCCCATTTCTTTTGCCCTGGTTCCTAATATATCTGAATCTCACAAGCTCATTTTTATGCTTTCAGAAACCCCTTCACCAGCTTCAACTCACAGCCTATCTTACAGGTAAGTAACATACTTCTTTTCTTTAGGAATCTGTTCACACCGACATTGCTAGTATCCCTGGGATTACTTCTCCACTAGCCTATACCACTGAAGTTTATAATTTGTTTTGTAAAAAAAAAAAAAAAAAAGGAGAGGTTAATAACATTGTATTTAATGTACATCAGAATTATTTAATTTTAATTTTGGTTTCAAACGGGATTCCCCCCCCCCCGGCCTAAAGGCATTGGCCTTTCTTTTACACATTAAAAAAATTTTTTTTTTTTTGTAGTTGTAGATGGACAGAATGCCTTTATTTCATTTATTTTTATGTGGTGCTAAGTATCGAACCCAATGCCTCATGCATGCTAGGCAAGCACTCTGCCACTGAGATACAACCCCAGCCCTTGATCTTTCCCTTTTTCTGCTGATGCTTTTATTTCCCCTCCATAGACCTTCATCTGCCTCCTCTGGACAGGGGATTTTGTCTTTCAAACCATATCTAAATGGAGATTCAGGCCACACAAGAGTCCTCACCCCTAACAATTCTGGTAAGTTAAACATTCCCAAAGGAGTGGAGTTTCAACCACTGACACATATACTAAAATGAAGATTTTCCAAGATAACAAGAAATTGAGATTCATTCCCCAAAGAGCATTGTTTCCAGTTGACTCTAATATATATAGTTAAGATTCATTCTAATTCCTATACAATGAATGAATTTTGCCTAAATAGTCCTCACCATGTTACCAGTTGAATCCTACTGTTTAGCCTGGTTGGTCTATAGTATTAAACTGGCTTTTTTGTTATCTTGAACATGCTAACAACTCAATTTTGAGAATTATAACACCAACATGCTTTCTTCTCCCTGTGCTTTTCAGTAAAATTACTCTACCACCAGCCAGCCCTTTTGATGCCAGCCCATCTTCCATAGTTTGCCTAAATCTTTTTAGTGCCTATCTTTCTACTTACAGTTAAACTCAAATCTCAGGGGGCTGGGGTTGTAGCTCAGTGGTGGAGTGCTTGCCTCGCATGTGTAAGGCACTGGGTTCAATCTTCAGCACCACATAAAAATAAATAAAAAATAAAGATATATTAAAAAAAATTCTGGGCTTAAATTTGAGAAGTTTTTTTAAAAAAATTAAAAAATAAACTCAAATCTCAGATGGCTCTGTCAGTACCCCATCTTCACAGGAAAAGAATGGATTTTGTAACCTACTATTTTTTTTTTCCTTTAGTACTGGGTATTGAACCTGGGGGCTTTATCACCAAGTTACATCCCTAGCCCCCCCTTTTTTTTCTCCCTTTAATTTTTTATTTTGAGACAGGGTCTCACTAAGTTGCTTAGGCCCTCATTGAGTTGCTGAGGTTGGCCTCAAACTTGCAATCCTTCTGTCTCAGCTCCTAAATTGCTTGGATTATAGGTGTGTGCCTCCATGCCTGGCTGCAACCTACTTCTTAAATTATGTAGCTAATACTCTTTTCCCTTCTGTGTTCCTTTATTAAGAGCTACCAAGATACTTGATCCACAAGTAAAAGTAACTGCTGAGGAACTGCCCAAGTAAGTTGTCTTTCACCATTCCATCCTATCCTTCAGGTCAGAGGGAGAACAGAACCACACTAGAGAGTCTTCCAGGTTTCCAGCTACCAGTCCTTCAGGTAAGCCTGGCTAGTACAACTTGTTTGTGCATAAAAATTCATATGGTTAGGCCTACACACTAACAACCTCATTCTTGTCTCAGGTTAGAGTAGTACAATGTAACCAGTGGAGAATGACATGGGTTTCAACTGTGATAAACATCTGTTAACAATTTTCCAGGATAGTCTCAACTTCAAAGGTTCTATCCTATTATGAGACTAGCTTCCTGGTTTGAGTTATTTAATTAAGTCACATAATAGTGAGTAGTGAGAAGATTTACTAAGAGGTTTTGGACAGAAAGGACACATTGACATTCCCAGTAGTTCCACAAGAGAATATTTTCAGTGAAATGTCTTTCAGGTGAAGGTACTGTTGAACTGGGAAAAACCACATTTATTTCTCCAGAGATAGGTAGAATAATGCCTTGTAAATTTATAGGACTGATTCTGTTTCAAGCAGCAAAAGGAAAGGGGCAGGGTAATGAGAAGTTTGTAAGGGCTCTATTAAATGAAAAGTCCAGTCTTGATTTTTAAATGGATTTTTATAGCTTGGGGTTTAAGGGTATTTAGGTCCTTTTCCACTCCAAGCTCCCAGTTACCCCAGGGAAAACTCCTGCATACTAAGTCTGGTATATATTTTGTTCCTACAATCTAAAATGCCCTTTATTTCATCAGCAAGAAATTAGGATCTAAGCCTTAAGAGGCAACACTGGGGAAATAATATCCCTCTCTAAGATCCTCACAAATGGAGGGATTAACCTACAAATGGAAAATGACTTGAGACCTATAAAACAACTATAAATATATGGTCCTAAATTGGATCTCTATTGAAATAAGCTATTTTAAAAAATTTTATGAGACAGTTGAGGAAAACTAAACATTATTAGAAATTTGAAACCTACTATTTTTTTTTTCCTTTAGTACTGGGGATTGAACCTGGGGGCTTTATCACCAAGTTACATCCCTAGCCCCCATAACTCTAAAATGTAATTCTACTTTTTAAAAGGATATCTTCTCCTAATTCTCACCTCCAATAAATATCCAGACTAAATATTCACTACCTATTATTAAAACTTGTTTACAAACTCTGTGGGAAAGATTTACCCTGAGACAAATAGTTAATAGAGAGGGGATTTTGTAAAGATAAAAAGATAGAAGACAAAGTGGACCCAGTATCAAAATTAAACAATTTTTAGCACTGGGTATTTTTTAAGATATGACAACATTGTTATTGTTTTTATTTTATGTATAAAATTTTACATATAAAATTTTGTATGGTGGGAAGTTAGATGATGTCTGGATTTTGTTTTAATGTAATTTAGTGGAAGAGAAATAAAAGATTGACAACGAATTACTTATTGAAGTTGGGGTTTCTTTGTTTTGTTTTTTTTAAATTTTGAGACAGGGTCTAAGCTGCTTAGGGCCTCTATAAATTGTTAAGGATGCTCTCAAACTTGTAATACTTCTGCTTCAGCCTCCCAAGTTGCTAGGATTTCAGGTGTGTGCCTGGCCTAATCTACTTAAAAACTTTAAAAAGTTTTTAAAAATAGTTTTTGGGGCTGGGGTTGTAGCTCAGTGGTGGAGCGCTCACCTAGCACGGGCGAGGCCCTGGGTTCCATCCAACTACAAGTAAAAAATAAATATTAAAAAAAATAGTTTTTGAAGAAAGTGCATCCTCCCAGAGGCATAAGAATTCTACCTTCTTGCTGGGTGTGATGATGCATCCCTGTAATCCCAGCAACTCAGAAGGCTGAGGCAGAATAGCAAGTACAAGGCTAGCCTCAGCAACTTAGTGAGACCCTATCTCAAAATAAAAAACCAGGCTAGGGATGTAGGGAGGTGGCTCAGTGGTAAAGGGCCTCTGGGTTCAATCCGCAATACCAAAAAAAAAAAAAATACCCTCTTGGTAAACATCTTTGGGTATGGTAGTCATATGTTCCAGATCTTCCAAAACAGTTTGATTTTCACATATTTGTCATTATTATAAACCACTGAAATATTCAAGAGAGCTTCATAGGTAGCAACAAAGCCTTGTCACACAAAATGTACAAATCTGTTTGGAAAGCTTAATCATTATACAATGGGGAAAAGTCATGGGGGAAGCAACAGGGGTGGTTTATGTCCCAATAAGCTTCATGTAATAGCTTAACAGGGTCTTATTAGCCTTTTCTGTTGTTTATAAACACTCAAATCTGCCTTCTTGTTCTCTGCTGCAGACTCTCTACCAACAGAGGCAGATGGGATTAGCCAGGGAGAGAGAAGAATGGACCACTTCCAGATAAGCCATCATCAAGGACTGATCTATACATATTGCTGAAGGATGGACTGTAGTATCCAGTACTCATTAGCAGAAATGACCTTGGAAAATGTGCCCCTGTTTTGTTTCCTGGTTTCATTCTGTACCTTATTTCCTTTTGATCTTTATACTTGATATTACCTCTCAGGAAAGTGGTCAGGTCTAAATAAGACTAATGATGTTTCTCCCTGAGAAAGTATATTACTCCTTTCATTTCCTAACAATTTGAAACTAAGGCTATAAAATTAATTTTTGGCATCATGCTTGGAAGTGAGGAGACTGGGTAATATATTCATCAACTTGTTTCATTTCTGGATTTCATTTTTTAGCTTTGGGTATATTTTACCATGCCTATGTTATGTTATCAAGTACCAACTCTTGTTCTTACCCTATTATGCTTTTCCTATTTTTTGTTTCTCTACAACTATTTACTATTAAATATGTTGATTTTCCTTTGTTAAAATAATTGGAGACACAGATATACAGCTTATTGGAAGATATGGATGAACCAATGGAGTTAACTCCAAGCCTGTTGAATCTGTCACTGCTGAGACCTCAGAAATTTTAATCATTATCATCTGACCACTGGAAAACAACATGTGTGGTGACAGATTCCAACCTACTGCCTTTTAGTTTTTGTTCTTTTAGTTTACCTCAAGTCCTGCCCCTTCAAATAATAAAATGTATACTAAATCTGAACTCTTTTAAAAGCAATGCTGGGGATCAAACTCAGGGCTTCACACATGGTAGGAAAGTGCTCTACTACTTGAGCCACACTCCCAGCCCCTAAATCAGAAATGTTAATGGACTTGGCTCCATTAATCTCTAAACCATAGGCATGGTAAAGTGGAGAAAAGAGAAACAATTTTATTTTTGGCCTTTTTATTATTATTCTAACAATTTGGGGCTTCCACTCTTATTTTTAGATAGTTAACCCATTGATGTCTTTTTCTTTGTGTATGATCCCAACTGAAGAAAATCATTCCAAAACATCAATAATTAATTCAGTTAAGAGAGGGAAAATTCTCTTTGGATGCAAATTGAGCCAAGGAGGTTGGGGTGGGGGTTGGAAAGAAGAAAAATCAGTCTTTGTCAAACTAGAGAGGAGCTTGTGTCAAGTTTGTAAAACCAAACCTGGAACTTCCTACCATCCGTCCTTTGAACAGGAGAAATCATCCCCTCTTCTCCATCACTCTATTATGTAATTCTACTTTTTTAAAGGATATCTTCTCCTAATTCTCACCTCCAATAAATATCCAGACTAAATATTCACTACCTATTATTAAAACTTGTTTACAAACTCTGTGGGAAAGATTTACCCTGAGACAAATAGTTAATAGAGAGGGGATTTTGTAAAGATAAAAAGGTAGAAGACAAAGTTGTCCCAGTATCAAAAATGAGAACATTTTTACCACCAGTGATTCAGTGATGAAGCAGGTAAAACACAGAGCCATCAAATTGATATAAGAAGAGAGAATATTTCTGACAAGGCCTGGTACCTATTGAGAATCTTAGCTGCATTATTACAGAATTTGTGCTCAGAGAGGAAGGAAACAGTACAAGACAGCCTTATATTCCAGGGAAAATGGTGGGATTGGTGATTCATTAGAATTATTAATTAAATCAGAATTCTTTACCCCTTCTTTCCAGACCTTCTATGTATGTGTAGCTGAGGTCAGTTTTCTGTAGTACACTATGGGAAAAGAATAGCCTATACAAGAACAGGAGACATTTCCTGGCCCAGGTTCTTGGCCTCCTCTACATGTGGCTAGAGTACTGGATTATTTGCTGATCCAATCCCTGATTTTGTGTACTATGATCATCCTCCCTGGTCCACCCTCAACTTACTACAACCCCATCACCCACTCTGAAGAATACAAAAGCTTTTAAATTCTTTGCCACAAGGTAATTAAAAAAATGTAGTTTCTTTGCTTAAAGTTACTAAAATTTGGTTCATCTTTTAGTAACAGATCTTTTCCTTCCCAAAATCCCTCCCTCGCTCAGTCCTGTATGATCACATAATCCTCCTCCTCCTCATCTTCTTCCTCTTCTTCTTCCTCCTCATCTTCCGGCAGTTCCTCTTCTTCCTCTTCCTCTTCTTCATCTAGACAAACTACCACCTCAGCTGGCTCAGGTAATCGAGAGTCAAACCAATCCAGTACCTGCTGGGTGCTAAGTCTTGATGCCTGACTCAGCTGAGGGATATCAATTTCCCGTAGCTGTTGGTGGGCTGCCCAATACTTCTCCAAAGGTCGTATATCCGGTGGGGGCGGGGGAATTGGTAGAGGTGGTGTCTCAGCCCATTCTTTCAAAGAGCGGGTTGACGGTGGTGTAGGAATTGCTGGATCTTGAAAACTAGGGGCACCAGGTACTGCATTGTCCCGAAACCATTTTAGTTGCCCATGCTTCAAAGCATAGCGTGTGTCACCAAACCACTGAATGATCTCAGGCCGAGGTAAACCAGTGATCTGTTCCAATTTATGGTAATCCTCACGCCGTGCCCATTGGCACTGTAGAAAAAAGGATTTGAGAATAGCCAGCTGCTCTTTGGTTTTACGCTTAGTCTTTCTCTGGCGTTGCATATCTGGGGAAAGGTAGTCTGTGGAGCCAACCCTACCTGGTACTGAGTTATGCCGTAGCCCTTGAGGCCAGGCTGGCTCCAGATGTGGGGGTAGTGCCTGTTCCTTGGGTGAGAGTGACTGTGGGATACAGCCTAGTGACTGGAGGGGTTTAGAGGTGGCAGTAGCTCCATTAGCCAGTACCCGGAAAGAAGAGGAGGTAGAGGAGGAAGAAGGAGTCATACTAGGTGCTGACTCCTCCTTACAACTACTGGCAAGTAATGAGATTGATGGGGGCTTATCCAGAGCATGTGACTGGTGGACAGCTATGGAGTGGTTCCAGGAAGAAGTACCTACACCATGTGAGTGGTCAGGACCACTGCCTGCCAGTTCCTTAGAGAGACCACTGCTTTGAAGATCCTGCCAAAAATCTGATTGGGAGAATGTTCCACTGCCAGGTGTCAAAAGGGACTCCTTTGCTTTCTGGTGACTCAGTGGCAGTGCTGATATATGAGAGAACTCCTCAGGTTCTACCTTCAATCCTTTTATCTGGGGGGGCTCTCTAAAAGTCAGAGGGCCTATTCCAAGATCAACTGGTTCTGGAGGTGGCACTGGAGAAGGTGGCACCTCCTCTGGTGGCCGCCCTGCATGATGAGTAAAAGAGAGAAGGGATTTGAAGTGGAGTTGGTCCCGATGGTATACCACTCGTGCTCGAGTCTCTTCTATTTCTTCAGATGACCAGCTAATGCCACAGCGGAGGCGCTGGGCCATGAACCAAGTCTTGACTTTCTCCATCTGTAGCCCATAACGTAGGCAGAGAAGGGCAATGTCTGCTAGGCTGGGATAGGGAAAGTAGCTGAAGGTTTGTAGCAGGTGTTCATTGCTATCTAGCTCACTGGTCTGGGCTGCTTGGGTCCACACAAGCTGTAGCTCCTCAGAAATTGGAGGAAGGCAGATGAGCCCTGCTGGTGAGCTAGTAACACTGCTGGCCTCTTTATTAGGAGGCATGGTGCGGTCTGATTTGTGCCCTTCAGAGACAGCTGTAATAAGAAGAGAAACAGCTCAATCACTGAGGCTCCTCTTTTGGCACAAAACTCAATTTCTACCAAACTGTTGGATACCAAACAATTAACTTTCTATCTGCATCATGTTGTATTGCTTTTAAAGTGTTTCAACAATTTCTCGTTAATTTTCAGAACCTTGTGGAGTCATCAGAGAGTTGTTACAATTCCCATTTTTTTTAAAGCCCATAGAATTTAAATTATACCAAGTCATATGACTAGTAAGTGTTGTCACCAAGACAGAAAACCCGTCTATAGAGGTTCAAAAGGAAGAGCTTTTTTTTTTTTTGGTGCTGGAGATTGAACCCAGGGGTGCTTAACCACACTGAACCACACCTCAGCCCTTCATATTTTTTGAGACAGGGTCTTACTAAGTTGCTTAGGGTCTTGCTAAATTGCTGAGTCTGGCCTGGAACTTGTTATCCTCCAGAATTGCTGGGGTTACAGGTGTGTACCACTAATGCCCTGTGGAAAGGCTAAAAGTTATTCTTATAAAGCTTTTATCTTTCCAATTCAACTTTGCTTCTGGAAGCTATTCCCCCATCTCTCACCTTCTAAATTCATGGAACAGGTGTCACAAAAGGAGACTCAAAAACAAAAGGAACTATTACTCTCCACCTCCTAACAATGTATGATTACCTCTTGAATGTAGAGATAGGTTGGGAAAATAACTGATGACTATCTGTAAGGTGTAACAGCATTGTCCTCTGCCCAGCCCCCAGCCATTTCTTTTTCTTTCCCTTCCGGGAGCTGGAGTACCTTCAATCCCTACACTCAAACCAGAAACCTTTATTATTATTTTCCATCTCAAGTAGGATAATATAGAGATCTAGGATAAATGGGGCTCACTCACCCTGGGTTTAGGTCTTGTGGAAAAGGGAATGTTTCCTTCCCCAAAAGAGCCTCTTAACAAAGGTTATCCCCTCCCCCAGCCTTTATCTCTTCCTACAGCTCAGCCTCTCTCCTGGGAGCCTGGAGAACTCCTTCCCATACTGGCAACCCCCTCCAGGTTGGGCAAAAGGCCACCTGCTGTATCTTTTCAGTTCAGCTTTCTCCTCAACATCTTGTGGACTGGTTCATTATAAATTGTAGCCAGCTCTTACAAAAGATACCCAGCAGAAGCACTGCTCCCAGGGTTAAGGATGTGGGGACTACAGGGATAGCCCCAATTGTGTTTCATTCCTGAAATACCTGCTCAGGTTATTTCCCAGAAAGTTCTGTTGACAATTTTAATTCATTTCCCTATGTGGACTGAGAGATCCTGTAACACATCACCCTTTCCTCTTAGGAGAATCCCATCTGTATTTATAAATATTACTACTAATCTGTTAGATTTCTACGTAAATGTTACATGATGAACTGAGAAAATAAATATCAAGTCCAAAAGTTACAACAATGCAATATCAGGGATTTTATTTATTATTACTATTATTTTTGAGGTGCTGGGGATTGAACCCAGAGCTCTTGTGTGTGCTGGGCAAGTGCTCTACCACCAAACAACACCCCCAGGCCCATGGACTTTATGATTGAAAAAAATTCAGAAGCATTTTTGCACTTGAGGCCATTTCCTTTAATAATTAAATCTAGCAAATTGAATGCCATGCAAATCTTAAAAGCAGTACAGCTTTAATAGTACCTTATGGGATTAAATGGTGACAGTGTGACATGGTAGGTAAAAACATGAAATACATTTTGGGGAGAGGGGTTAGGGGTATTGGGAATTGAGCCCAGGCCCTTATGCATGCTAATTATGTGCTTTACCACTGAGCTACACCCCAAGCCCAAGAAAAATGAACTGAGTTTAAATCCCAGTTCTACCACTTTTTCTCTATGTAGAATGAGTTTCTACAATTTCTAAAATTTTGGCTATATGAAATTGATAAAAGTTACTGAAATTGTGAGCCTCAGTTTCCTCATATAAAAAAGGAAAACAATGCTGAATGTATGTGAACAGTTAGATATTTTTACCAAGCACCTACTATTGCTAGGCATTATGAATAGAAAGGGGTTAGAGTAACTGTGAAGACCTGGAGGACTGAGGTGTGGCAGTTTTGAGGTTAATTGCCAGCTTAATTACTTCTAGAATGTTGTTTGTCCTTAGGCAAATTATTTAACCACTCTATAAGCCTTATTTTCTCATCAGAAAAAAAGTTATCTACCTGGAAAGTTTTTTGACTAAATTAAAAAAAAAATGCCCTTGACATTATGCCTAGAACAAAGTAAAGGCCCAATAAAGTTGAGCTTTTTAAAATTACTTCAGCTTCATGGGTGACTCTGCTATAAATTAATGCTCCCCTTGGGAAAATGGGGCAAAGACTGTATTCTTTAAAATCATGGTTTTTCATTCTGACTGCAGAATCCAAATTCTAGCTAACAGTGGAGGAAACTACAATTTTAATGATTTTTTTCTTCTTGCAGTCTGAGGATCGAACCTAGGGCCTTACAGATAGGCAAGCAAGCACTGTACCTATGAGCTACATCCCCAGTCCCTATAATTTTACACTTTTTAATATTTTGGAGTTTGGATACAATTTCAGAGTGTATGGTTTTGTGTTTTTTTTTTTTTTTAATGTATGAAAAATCACAGTTTTGGGGAGAATTGCTTCCAAAATTTTAATCCATTTTGAATGCCATATGAATTGCTCCACCTTTCCCCTTCTAGTTTCATCCTAGACACTGCTTTATGGCCAGGGGCCAACTGCTGTTTAGAAATGTGTCCCCCACCCCCAGAAACACCATCAAATCCAAGCTGGAGAATACTTTATGATGGCAATACTTGACATCTTCTTAACTTCTTTTTTGTCCTTTTCCATCAGGACACCCAATTCACACTTTAAATATGAGGAAAATATAGCATAAGTCCCAGGAATAAAGCAGTTTAGTCCTTTGTGAGGATGAGAACTGACATGAGAATATGAGACAGTCACAGTAATAATCCTACAAGGAAGCATTTTGCTTTTTATTATTATTATTATTTTTTTTTTAGTTGTTGATACACCTTTATTTATTTGCTTATTTATATGTGGTGCTGGGAATCGAACCCAGTGCCTCACATGTATAAGGCAAATGCTCTACCTCTGAGCTACAACTCCAGCCCCTGCATTTTGCTTTTATTCTTGTGGTTTGAATACTTCAGATTCTCATAGCATCAGCTTGATATTTAATGTAACATGCATTTAATAACACAAACATCCAGTTTTCATTTACATAAAACTCAAGTTATAGAAGAATTCCTGAAATGAAATGGTGGCTTAAATCAAGGCACAGGTATATGGATGGCAATTCCCTGGAAGAATCTGGCTTTAGACTACAAGGAAACTACCACCAAAGTGGCTCATGAGAATTATAACAAGTTGGGCAGACACTATAGTAATCAAAACCACAATTTAAGCCGGGCACAGTGGCCCATACCTGTAATCCCAGTGGCTCCAGAGACTGAGGCAGAAGGATTGCAAGTTCAAAGCCAACCTCAGCAACAGCAAGGTGCTATGCAACTCTGTGAGACCCTGTCTCTAAATAAGATACAAAATAGGGCTGGGGAATATGGCTCAGTGGTTGAGTGCCTGAGTTCAACTCCCAGCACACCCCGCCCCCTCAAAAAAAAAAAAAATTTAGACTCAATGTAGTATCTATTCTCATGCCTCCATTTTGGATAGAGAAAGGGAAACAAAGCTGGAGAAGGACTCCTAGGGCAGAGGTGTGCTTGTAAGTATCTCTCCTGAATAATCATTACATTTTATTCCTTATTAAACAGACCAGATATGCCCTACTAGTATGTTAAGTCACTAATAAAAAATGCAGAAAGCCCTTCTTTTCCCCTTGGGCTTTTTGCATCCCTGAGCAAATGGCAGAGAATGGGCTGCATTAACTTAAGCTTCAGTGTTCACACAGTCCTAGGAAAAAGGAGGACTTTGGAATTTTCCTGTTGAACATAGGCTTATGGTTAAAGTGGAAGACAGTTAAAGTGGGAAACTAGTTATGATCCTGCTGAATTCCCAAAATCTTTAATCAGAGATTTGAAGTACTACCTAAAAATGTATTTTGGTAGTTTTAAGGACTTTTCGCGATACTTATATGCTTCTTAACTTTTTGGATCATAAGAATCAAATAAAAGTTACAGATCCTTAGAAAGTTAAAATAACTCCTCCCCCAAAATAAACATTCACATACTCAGGGTTCACTGACAGCCAAGAAGTCAGGTTAAGAAATCTCTGCCTTGGGGTTGGGGTTGTGGCTCAGAGGTACAGTCTTGCCTAACATGGTGAGGCACTGGATTCAATCCTCAGCACCACATAAATATAAAATAAATATATTGTGTCCACCTTTAACTAAAAAACAAATATTAAAAAAAAGAACCTCTGCCTTATGTCTTTCCAACTTTAATAAAAGCAGTGGTGGCAAATGCTTAGAGAGAAACAAGCAGCTTGATGTGCATGAACAGGAAAAGATCCACAAGAATTCCACTTGATTTAGAAGGGTCACAGGGTATTCATAGTATCAGCTGGAGAGAGTGAAAAGGGTGTTTAAATGACATACTGAACTTGTAGGTCATTCAACCAATACCCACAAGTTGTAACTGGGTAGTAGAGGTTAGTAGGCTGCTTTTTAGTGCACCAAAATCATTGATTTCATTCAGTCTGCTTGGAACAGCATTGTGACTCCAACAAAACTTCTGTTGCTCAATGTGTGTGTGTGTGTACATATATACATGAGATAATGTAACTAAACATCACATCATATGATGAAAAATACTACATTAAAAACTGTTCCTATATGGTGCATGCCTGTAATCCTTGCAGTTTGGGAAGCTAAAGCAGGAGGATTATAAGTTCAAAGCCAGCTTCAGCAAAAGCGAGGCACTAAGCAACTCAGTGAGTCCCTGCCTCTAAATAAAATACAAAATAGGGCTGGGGATGTGGCTCAGTGCCCCGAGTTCAATCCCCAATACCAACAACAACAAAAAAAAGCAGTTCCTATAG